TTTAGATAATTATATTTATCTATTGTCAATAAACATTTATTTTTTAAATAATTGTTAATGTCAATTACATGGAATTTGCATTGATTATATGTCAGTGTATTCAATGTCAAATTCAATTTATATCTTAAATTATTTTCCTCCTGTGGCAAGCTTCTACTGTAGGGGAATGTGAACAAAATTATTTTATCTACATTAACACTAGAAAGGCCGCCGTCCCATTTTTGTCCCACTCGCGAGTTTGATCGTCTCTAACTTTTTTATTTTTCAACGAAAGTCCATGAAACTTTTTGACTTTTACTGATTTATTGAATTTTATCATTTTTTAATGTTTTTGATAATATAAAATTAATAGAAAAATTTTAAAAATCTGTTTTACCTAGAAGCGCCACTGGGTCATTTTTGTCCCACCCTGTTATTTGCCACAATAATTCGATGAAGAGTCCTTGTTTAGAGGAGATACGAAAGTGGAGAGGTGAGGAGAGTTTAGGTGACTCGTGACAATGCAGAAATGTAAATATATTGTACTAGTTTTTGCCTGTGACTTCACCCGTAAGAAATTAAGTTTATCATAGAAAGACCTAATTTCTTGACACTTATCGTTGCTTTTTGACCAAATAAGTGAATATTATTCTAAATTATAGCCTATATTATGTTATTCTGAAGTATTAGCAATAAAACTGCAAAGTTTTATTAAGATCGGCTTAGTATTTTTTGCGTAAAAGAGTGAAAAAACATCCATCGATCTAACCATGAATCCATACTCACTTAGTTCGAAGTTCCAGGCATATATCCACCCATTCATCCTTCCTATCCATTCATCAGTCCATCCATCCTTCAATTCATCAATATTTATTAACTTTTACATTTATAATATTAGTAGGAAGGTGGCTTCTAGACATAAATCAGTTCATACATTGTATGATTCGATACATTTTTAAAATGTGTGACTTATAAAATTTTTAAAATTAAACGTACAAACTTTTCATTGTAATTGGAAAAAAACTTCACTGTTTGTGTACAGATAACAGAAAAATAACCATACCTATAAAATTCCTAAACACATAGTACACCAGAGACAAAAAACCATACAAAAAAACTTTGTGCAAAATGTGCACTATTATTTGTAAGATATTTATTTCATCCTTTAAAAATAATAAAGACTAGTTAAAGTAGTAATTTCATTATTTTAATACAGTATAACAACACCACGTAATATGTGACTATTTTTAAATGAAACCAAAAATATCTGACTTTTAATAATTCAAAATTAAAATTGAATACATTTATATTTAAAGAAATAAGTACATATTTATTTAACTACATAGATAAACCTTTTAATAAGGATACTACAAACAGTTTTAACCATAATATTCATGTCTGAAACTAAAAAATGTTACAAAATATATGCTGGGACAAAATTGACCCAGCGGCGCTTTTAGGGGGGTCGTAATCTTCGGCACTTCTAGTGTTAAGTAAACATAAACTATCAAAAATATTTAGTAGGTCTTTTTTGCCTACATTGCCCCTANATACCGATCAAAAAAGTTCTTTGGTTTCTTATATTTAATACAAAATATTTATATTTATTATTATTATGACGTTGTGTATCAACGTAAGGAATTATTATTAATACCTAATTATCAAACCCGATTAATGAATATAATTATTAATTGTCTACATAATACATGATATTATTATCTATATTATATAAAGCTATTTAATCAATAAATGATTAAATAGTTTTACGCTTCTCTAGGAGTTTTTCCGTTAGATGTACGAGTATTTTTTTCTTCGATTACTGTCAAACCTTGTTTCAATGGATACTGTTCAGTTTCTGTAATAAAATTGAAATAATGTAGTAATTAAAATTCTACGTTAATCATTCGATATTCCCCCAGGGTAACCCAATTACGAAATTTGATAATAAGCCAGAAGTAATCTTTTAATCAGCAATAAATTTATTTAGAATTAAAACCTTAATTTTACAGTCAAAGTAATGCAATTTTCGGGTTACAAGAATAATATTTTATCCCAACTATCCCAACTCCCAACTAATATTATAAATGCGAAAGTAACTCTGTCTGTCTGTCTGTCTGTCTGTCTGTCTGTCTGTCTGTCTGTCTGTCTGTCTGTCTGTTTGTCTGTTACGCTTTCCCGCTTAAACCTCGCAACCGATTTTGATGAAATTTGGCATAGAGATAGTTTGAGTCCCGGGAAAGAACATAGGATAGTTTTTATCCCGGTTTTTGAAACAGGGATGCGCGCGATAAAGTTTTTCTGTGACAGACAAAATTCCACGCGGGCGAAGCCGCGGGCGGAAAGCTAGTTTATTATAAAAAATGTATTCATATTACCATCTCCATAGAAGTTCCAGTCCTGTACTTCTCCTCTCGCAAATATCACATAAAACAGATTCGTCACAAACTTGATGACGCTGACGATGATGAACACAGTCTGCCATTGACGGTGATTTGTCTGCAAGATAGAAAGAAAAAATTAAGAAAAAAGTTAAATATTTTTTTAGAGGCAGGTATCTAAAGTGCAAGTCTCCCCAGAAGGACTGAACGGCGTGAGCCACTGCGAGCAACTTGGGAAAGAAAAGTACTTAAACTACAATAATTTCACTATCGTAAAAATGAAACAGTTTTCAGCCATCGCCTGTCATAGAGCGGCCGATCCATTATTTAATTTATTGGCTCTATAAAAGCTATGGCTAAAGCTTTAAAAATAATGCGACTGATGAACGTTCAACATCATCATAATTTCAGCCACCGGACGTCCACTGCTGAACATAGGCCCCCCCCAATGACTTCCAGTTTGGTCAGTTGATAGCGGCCTGTATCAAGAGCCATACTGCAACCTTTATGAGGGCATTATGTCCACCTTGTTTGAAGCATGTTACATTCTCTAGACCAGTGGTTCTTAAGTCACCTTTAAGTCACGAGGGACCGTTTTACCAAATTTCTGTCTTGTCAGGGACCACTTTTTTTTTTCAAAATCCTATGAAAGGGGAGGTCGATTTCTCGCCCATTGTGCGCCGTTTGCATTGTGTTGACTCGACTCATCACCTCACGTCACTTGTTTATTACGATGTCTTCGTAGATCACTTGGAATGCCTCCAGGGACCACCAGTGGTCCGCGGACCACCGGTTAAGAACCACTTCTCTAGACCAATAGTGTCGGTGTCGGGTCATATCCGAGGAACGGCGCCCCGTTGGACTATTGTGGCGAACCCATTCATACAGTCAGCGTCAAATAGTTCGTGACACCCAAAGTAGCCAAAAAGTTCGCAACACGTCTTTGTTACAATTGGAATAAGGTTGTGTTGTCAAAGTTTTGACCACTTTGTCGTGAACTATTTGACGCTGACTGTACGAGACACGAGACATATCTCGTTGCTCTCGGTTTTTCCCAACTCGTTTATGAACGGGATGGGAAAAACCGAGGATTTTCGCATCGGCTACACACACACGTCTACCACTTCAATTACCATATCGTTAATGATGTTTGACACCATGACCGGCACCAGCAGACTAGTAAGGTTGGCGATCATGTTGCTTAACGCCATCAGAGTGCCGGCGTAGTTGGGTGCCAAGTCTATGTGGTTAATCTGAAACAAACAAAAACCTAATCAGGCAAAGAAAAAAGATGTCTCATGCGCCGCAACGTATCATGTGCTTTGGCTCTAAGTGAGTAAAACATGGGAGTCTCGAGTCACGAAATATTGGTACTTGCTAATAAGATGCTACATATCGCGTCTTTACTCGTATAGATCGTTTCATCCACGAAGACGCGCCCCACCAATTTTTGTTCGAGGGAAGCGCGATGTGGGGGGAGTTTGATCCAAGCAAACCGAGCGTCATTATTGTAGTGTGCGTGTGCACTCATGGATAATTTAGCGTGTATCAATAACACTCAAACAATAGCCGAAGAATGGTGGGGCGCGTCTTCGTGGATGAAACGATCTATACTAAGTAGTCTTATACATATTTTATCGAAATCAACTGGCAATCCAGTGCATATTATGTTTAAACTAGTGTTAAAATACCACTAAAGCAAGGTTATTGAAGTTCGCCAAAATTATGACAGGAAGCGTTAAGAATCGCTGGTAAATAATATAAATCATTTCACATTAATCCTATTAAGTACAATTTTCGAACAATGTTCATCTAATCTGATTACCGAATCACATTCAGCTACATAGTACGTTACATAGACGAAACAATACGGCTCATGTCGCCGCTAATTACCGAACTTAACACTAATGTAACGGTAAGCACATCATAATCTAAAGTGGTGGAATGGGAACCGTAATCACTGTGAACATTTTAGGAGTCTAAATTGTATGTAACGGCTCGTAGAGTCTGGATATCTGTAGAATATAATGAAAGCTTTGTAGAAAGTTCTAGGTGTAAAGTACGTATACATTTATTTGGGGTTATTACAATCGAAATAAAACCAACGACCTCATAAAGGTAGCAGTGTGGTAGCAGGAAGGCGCTGAATGCAGGCCGCTGCCAACTAGTAATTTTGGAAATCATTGGGGGAGGTCTTATACATAAAAGTAGGCATAAAACGCACTCGTAATGATTATTTGATTCTTACACGTTTTACTGACCTACTAAGAACAATGATCATTAACATTTTATGGAAATTGATTTATGCAAAATATGTGAAGTGTCCCTTTACTTAAATATTTTTTTTCTTGACGTTCTTGATTTAATTTTTGAAAGTTACTTACGTGAAAGCCCACATGTGTGGCGGAGTGAAAACCAAGGCACAGGATGAGCATAACCACGGCCAGGCCCGTGCTATTGGCGAATCCGAACGCTATTAAAAATGTCCCGGACCCAATCGTACCTGCAAAAGATTTTGGCTTTTAATATATAGAATGATTAGTTAAAAATGATCAGATCATAAAACGGCAATGATTTCAAAATATTGTGGAGACTTGAAGTGTCATTTTTAAGTTCATAAAAACTGGTTAAAAGTTTTTTAATATCTTACCAATACTGTTAGCAACTCTTCTAACGTTCCGAACTGAGAGGATCTTCTTTACAACTAATATATCCGAGAGCCAGCCAAAGAAGAGAAGCATCACGTACATCGCTATGTACGGCAACGAAGAGTAAAGACCATTCTGGGAATGAAAACGATTAGATATCAAAATAAGTTGAAATATGACAGTCTGCCAACAGGATGGTGGGAGATTGTGCGGAAAGCTGTTATATCCGCCTCCACAACCGATGTGAACAACGCCCCAACGTGACCCCTCTGCCAAGAGCGAAACAAATAAGAAGTTTTCTTAGGATGAGCATAGTTCTATTTATTGTATTTGATAAGTATACCTATTTCAAGACGAAAATACTATGAAAGAAATCAAGTCTTGTATAGTTTTTAACTATTCCCTTCTCAAAATACTAACCTTTTTGATATTAACTTTCAGAACGTTACTCATGTAGGTGGGAGTCTCATTTAGCATGAGGAGGTACGCCATAGCACTACCGGCCTGCGTGAGTATCATGCCCCACACCGCTGTACTGGTCAGAATATGTTTCCAGGGTGTTCTGCGTCTCTGAAGATACAATAAAAAATGTAGAGAACAAAAATAACTGATAAATAATACTTCCAACTGCTGGACGCTCACCCCTATGTAAACTGACGACATCGTAAAAGTAGCAGGAAGGCCCTGGACGCAGGCCGTTACTAACCGGGCAGTATGGTAAGCATTGGGGGAGGCCTATGTTCAGCAGTGGATGTCATGTGGCTGAGATGATGAAATAATTATTAACCCGAAGAAATCATCATCAATGTAAATTGAGATATCATAAGAATTTAGATGCTAAATGAGTTTACCCGAGCTGATGATAGCACAGTTGTGAAAGTATGGTTGTGAAAAAAGGGTCCAGTCTCTATGACCCACCTTCGAACTGACATCGACAGCCCTATCACCAATGATATACGCCAGCTCTTCAGACCTGATAGTGGCGCAGTCGTGACAGCAGCTGTAAAATCATAGCTGTGAAAAAAGGGTTCAGTTTCTATGACCCACCTTCGAACTGACATCAGCAACCCTATCGCCAATGATATAGGCTAGTTCCTCAGAGCTGATAGTAGCACAGTCATGAGGGCTGGCGGCCCCGAACCAGGCCAGAAGACCGAAGCAGCAGAGGCTGAGGCTGCCACACATCCAGAAGATGGAAGGCCAGCCAAGCCAGGGGATGGCAGCGAGGACGCCGGATATTTGGAAGATGAAGACTGTGCCGAACTGGGATCCTGAGGGCAGAAAATAGACATGAGGCCAATTCCTTGATGTTATAATGCTTAGGGCCTATTTCACCACTTAGTCAGATAACTATCTAAAACCCGATCGAGCTAACGTAACTGCGTACCTCGCTGGAATGGAATGCACACCTCCCCGCGATAGCCCCATCCGTACCAGAGCGTCGATGTGACGTCACGGCTGCCAGGTACGCAGTTAATTCGACCGTTAAGTGCAACGCTCTCTGTACTCCTTTTTAATACTTATTACGTAAAGTAATGTGAGTACTCCTCAAAAAAAAGATTCAAATTCCAGCACATATTCCGCCAAACAATTTTAATTACAAACTCGCGGTAGGAAATTAGAATGTTATCCCAAGTTTCTGCTCCAGCACGGCTTTGATAAACTACGAGCAAGGTGCCTACAGATTTCCTCCATATTTTAATATCTGAAAATTTTCTTTTGCAACTTTCCGAGGGGATATCAAATATCCTTCTTCCAGCCCGCCGCGCAAAATCAAAGAGTAGTGAGTGAGTGAAAGTTGTAATTTTAAAACCTCACTATGTACAGTCAGGTTAAAATTCGTTAACTAAATCATTTTCGGATATTCTGTACCTCTATTACGAAAAACTTTCGAGTTCGTTTCGTTTGCGTATTCAAAGTGCCATCGAAAAATTTTGTATGAAAAATTAAACAGCGCCCCCTATATTATAGCCGCCCTAGGGGGCGCTGTTTAATTTTTCATACAAAATTTTTCGATGGCACTTTGAATACGCAAACGAAACGAACTCGAAAGTTTTTCGTAATAGAGGTACTGGACGTTCTATTAAGTTTCTGCAGTCCCAAATTAAGGAAATGCATAAAGCAAACCGGAGTATAATGTAAACATCCTCGAAAATGCTTTTTTGCGAATGGATAGCTAAATAGAAAACGTCCACAGGACACTCGTTTCGTCAGACTAATCCACAGCTTACGTTTTAATAGCTTTTCCAAACAATACGTCATGTTGGTCGTCGAATACGTAATCATCATTAATCGTTTTAAATTACGTACCTAGCTCTTTAGTAGCAAAATCTTTAAGTCTAAATATACTTTTTCCTTCCGAATTAAATCTACGAGATGTGTAGGGATTCCTAAAATTTATTACGAAAATAATATTAAAAATTTATTTCAATTTTATCTCTCACTGTACCTGTAATGAACCTCATGGACGCGGCCACGAAGACTTTTTATATCTTATTTAATGTTAAAATTAATATTGCTCCAACTTTTCAGAGGCTGCAAACTTTTTAATATCATGAAAGGGAAATTGAGTACAATTTTGTGACAGACTCCTGTACACTCGTGAGCATATTATTAAATTAGGGAAGTGGTTATTCCGAGATGATATTACAGTCTGTTATTTTCTCGTTGAATGTTATTTTAGGTATAGAGTGGAACCTATTAAATTATGGAAGCTCTAGTTCGTGATATACTAACTAATTAAAGCTTAATAGCGTTAACTATGATGGTTGGGTAGTGATTTACATAGTCTCAATAGACTGATGTTCAGTTGTGGAATATTACAATTACACACATGGGAATTATAGTAAACGTACCCAAAGGATTTAAATTGAGATGTAATCATTAATATTGCTTAAATTACTAGTAAAAAAGCTTTAAATAGAACTAAAAAACCTTTTTCACCAATTTAACTATTATTCCGTCATAGGGACATATCCCACGACTGCAACTACTGTGTAACCAGGATCTACATCTTGATTTTTATTGGGGATAAATAAAAACCCAACCAGTGAAGGTCAAGTTTGTCCCGAGGGAAAGTTAAATACATACGATGTACATACGATGTGTAATATTTGCACATCGTATGTACGATAGAATATGTTGGAAACTTCTTTCTCTATAACCTTGTAACCGTATTCTGGCAAATAAATGATTTTATTATTATTGTTATAAACTGTCATGGGACCAGCTAGCCTAAAAAACATTTTCTTCAAATTTTATCGGTTTATCCCACGTGTCGCCCTTAAAGCGAAGTAACCAATCAAGCTTCTTTGAATCCCGCGGTTACCGGTCAAAACTAACTTACACCAGATAAGAATTTGTAATCCCATTTGACAGTCATTCCACGAAACTGCCGGTCGGGCAACCATCAAAAGAGTTTCTTAATTTATGTACGTGACGAACCGTAAGGGTCTATTTCAAGTTTTGAAAAGGCAATGCTGTAATCTTGGCCGGTGAAAAAATACGGACGCATTTTATGTGCGTGCATGCATAGATTAGAGTGATGAATTTTGTTTAAATAGCTTATTAGTATTAAAGCGGAAAGTGTTTGTACGAACGCGATGTCAGCAGGCAAGCCTAATACAATTTGAAGAATATAGTCATAATGAATTTACAAGTTCAAATGTAATGTTGAATATAATACTACTCTACTACTATTGTATAACCATTTATTATCGGCGTAAGTTAAGATTTAAACCTTGGAAGTCTACGTCCGCGTGTATATGAAATAAAACGCTGACAGATTTGACCAATTTTGTTAACCTTTAACTATAGTCGTGAAAAAATATTCACACTCCCATGGACGTCGGCTCTCACAGACCCCTATCTAAAATTCTTCATAATTTCATATCTGAACCAATTTGAATTTATCAAAGAGTTGATATATATCTAATAACTATTAATAAAGGATCTAGTATTAAATGTAATCAATTTTTATCATTATTTAATTATTTTTTGGCAAATTTAAAAAACATAGACATTTTTCAGTGTTAATTGACTTAACATCACATATAGGCTCCTTAATTACAGTCGATTAATAATAAATCAAACTAATATTTTTTTCCTTGCTAATTAATAACCGTGTAACATAAAAACATAAACAGAATTTCTGAAAGACATAAAATAAAGATTTTGACAAGGGTTAAACTTACAAAAATTATAAACAGTGGCCTAGAACACTAAAAACAAATTATCTCTATAGGCATGTGTCATCTTTCTTTGGGAGCTTTGATAGGCAAAATATACACTATTCAGAATCGGAATCTGCAACAATGGTACCTTCTAAAACATCTAAACTCAAAAGAAGGATCGTCTACAAGTAAAACCTTACTTCTGGAATCTTACTTAGATAGTTGGGCTAATAATATAGCTGATGTACTCAGATACTTTCTACCATTATGTATTCTTAAACTAAAACAATTTACAACATATTATAATGATATACTATAAAAAAATTATAGTTGACAAGTCACATCCATACAAGTATGTTTGTATGGAAATTAAAGTCATCGGGTCTCCCAGACCCCGATAAAAGTTTGGATGGTTATTACTCACGTAATAAGTGCCGAAAGACGCGATTTTGTGCCTCCTCGGTCCTAACACAGTTAAAACTGAAGCTACTGAGATGGTCGAGAGCAGCACGTGGTGGGAAAGTATTTAAACCGAGAAATTGAAAAGGGGGGTGGGCCTCTGAGACCCGACGTCCATAGTTAAAGGTTAAATGGACATAAAATTTTCAGAAAAATGAAAGTTTTTATTCTACAAACACCACAGTCTTCTTTCAAACGGAATCGCCCCAAATATCTGTCCGTGTATCCCCCACAGAGTTATACATCTCCATACACAGAAGTTGAGGGCGGGCTGTAACTAAGTTGAAAGACTCGGGAGCCGCGGCTGCTCCTTTACCAGCTAATTCCAGTTTTACGAGGAGACACCGCGATAACGGCATTTCAAACTCCGGACCATGTTCAAGTTTATCTGTATGGAAGTTTGCCTGAAGTAAACAAACTTTAAATCGCAATTTTAACGCATTTTAGTAAGTACCTATCAGCTACATAATATCGTAGGTCTTCAACAATACCTATCTAATTATAATGTTTAGACTAATTAGGGTGTATTGTGTCTATGATGTTTGAGGGTTTGTTATTAAAGGTCGATGGATTATTATTAAATTATATCCAAAGCAGCCTCCTCGATTACCAGTCTTGGTAGCGTCTGTGGGAATTAGTATAGACTATTAGCTAGCAGGTATTATGTTTGTTGATGTATATATTACCTGCATGATTAGCAAAAATCATAGGTAGTAAGCAAATCAAAATTAATCAATCCGTGTAAATTCTTCACGAACGTAAAATTTTATGTAGGTACTTTTGAGTGTGTGAGAAAGAGAGTGACCAAAGTAGTCAAAAAGTTGACAACACAATCTTATTCCAATTGTAACAAAGACGTGGTGCGAACGTTTTGGCTACTTTGGATGTCACGAACTATTTGACGACTGTAACCTAACTTACCAGAATAAATGTATGTAGCAAGTCTTCCTCTTTCAGATAATGGAGCCCATTTCCCAAGTATGGTGTGGATGCCAGGATAAAACGCGGCTTGAGTGAATCCTTGCACCAGGCGGCATATGCACACGCCGATCCAACCTGTCTGAGACAAACATTTGATGGTGTTACTGGGTGTTAGAATCACAATGAATCAATTATTTTTATAACAACTTAATCTTGACAATAAGGGTTTTATAAATTTCACTCATCGGCTGGCGCCAGCGGTATTTAATATTAAATATTGCTTGTGCCACTTGTTCCGTCCTGCTTGTGGCTTAGACAGTGGCGAACTGGTGAGCGCTGAAGCCAAAGGAGGACTATCATATTATTTGCGATCTCCAGGTAGAATCCACTGTGGAGTCATATCACTCCCCAGTGGCGCCAATTGGTAAACACTCTCTCATTAGCAAAAATATAGAGTACCTATGGTGTTCTTATTTTAGTGTGATTAGCATTTAATACAACAAGCTCGCGTCTAAAGAAGGTCTCATAGGAAAGTCTATTATTAAAATACTTACAAATAATGGAAACCACGGTGTGAGTATCGATAGGACACCGTTGACCGCTAAGGCCACTAGTATCGGCCGCTTCCCTCCATACTTCTGTGTGATCACACCCATTGGCAGCATCATCGTGGTGTATCCAACAAAGAACGAGAACAGGATCATTTCTTGGGTCGGTTTACTCCATTTATACGTCTAAAACAATATCAGAACAATTCCAAATCACAATATATTTTTTTTACGCTACACAAAAGTTAAGTTTTGATTAAAAGCAATAGGAAATAGGCATTTTTAGCACCCAATGGTTAGGTAAAGTTTCAGAATCAAAGACTGGGGTCTGGGGAGACTTGAATTAAAAAATATTACGTTAGAGCTCTAGAGATTGTCTTCTTTCCACATAATTTCATTTATCTGGGAACTACATATATTGTAAAGATACTAATTATAAAGGTTATCCAACTCAAATGCTTAAGTAAATCATGAGTCTACTCACTCTGTATGGACTCCATTTACTTGGTTCAATTTCATATTTCTCTGTACACTTTCCCCAATAAGGGTTGTTCTTTTTGTCATTAATCCTATTACCGGCCTCAGTATCATTTTGTTCGTTACTATAGTCAGTAAAAGTATCATTGTTTCTTCTATTTCGTCTAACGTTATCAATATCAGTAACGTTACACAGGTAAACAATGTTTGGTTGAGTGGGACTAGTCATGGCTACCATGGAAACGCTGAGTTGTGCTCTCATGGCGATGCCTACAGTTAAACATAAGAATAAAATAAGAGCTTGTCTATGTCGTGCTCCAAATCCTTTTGGAACATCCAGTTTGGGCGGGGCATCTGAAAGTCAAAATTGATAAAATTAAAGATGACATAATATCACGTTGTTTAATTGTATTGATTTAATGATGTAGAAAAGTAGACGAAAAGAAAGCACTCTCTCTTAGATAAAGGTGAGTAATTACTCGTAGATAAAGACATGAAATGGAGCCATTGAAGAATAAGCTAGGAATATGGTGTATTTTATGTTACTGCATAAAAGTAAATCTGATTAAAAAATATATGAACTTACCGTCATTATGATCCTTCCTTAAAACGCTGACATACTCAACATCTTCCAATCCCATTGCTATTTTATATTTTAATTTATTCTCAGTAATTTTAATTTTTCATTAATATTTTTTAATGCAAATATTTTAATTATAGTGACGTGCTCTTGTACTGGGCTTACCTTTAGAACTTATGCCAATTCTATCATGTTTGTTCATTTATATAATAGGATCGGTTAATAGTAGGCTCATTATCTATCTTCTAATATAATTTCATCATCATCATCATCATCATTTTCACCCATATGATTAAGATAATTATAAATGATTTATTATTATGAAATTTTCTGATTTTACTCATAAGTAGAGTGATTTTACACATGAGACTGTACATTTTTTGTAATAAAATAGCCTTTATTACTACGAGATAAGACGCCTATTCATTCTTTAGCTGTTTCTGTGTAACTTGTGATCTTGCAGTGCTAGTTTGGTTCTGTTTTCTACCTAATATCTTTTAAAGACCGTGTCATCAAACGTTGTATTCTTCTTAGTTGGCTTGCCTAAAAAATCTTGTTTAGTGCAGTCAGTTATTTCTACAGTAGTGTTACTATTACCCGTTACGTTGTGGTTCCATTTCATACGTATTGCGCTTCTTTGCGTAAGACTTATTCCACTACTGTTTGATTGTTTTTATCTACGACTTATGCATGTGCTGAGGTCGGGAGATAACGGTGCTATAATAAGAGAATGATTTATTTCAATTTGTTTGTGATGAGGATGGAACATATTCTTGTAATAGTAGATAAGGTATTTAGAATGTGTCATATTGTTATTGATACACATTATTTTGTATTTTCATCGTCATACATGATTCATCTTAAGTTAGGTGTTAACCTAAAGATAAAATGCGGATAAGTTACCTATTTTTATTTTTCTTTATTTAGGAAACAAACAGCATGAGTTTATACATTATGTGAACTTAAAAAAATAAAAACAGTACAGTAGCCTAATCAGTTTCCACAGATAAACTTTACAGTTAATCGAAAGTTATGCAGAGTGCGAGCAATTTAAAATCACAAAATATAAAAAAATGCCTATGTTAAATTGTTTCCCAGATGTCAGTACACAAAATATTAACGGATACTAACTGGGATAGAGTATTTAGGTGTCAAAAAAAGTGTATACGTGCTATGTGTGGCTTGAAGAGAACTGACAGTTGCAAACCTCATTTTCAAAATTTAAAAATATTGACTATGCCATGCCTTTATACAGGGTGTCCCGTAATGTAACGTCAAGCCGGAACTGGGTGTTGAGGCAAGTTGTGCTGGTTATCAGAAAAATATAAAAAAAAATCTATGTGGCATATTTTCAAAATAATAGGCATTAAAAAAAAAACTAAAAATTCTACTCCAGGTGACGGTCCTTTTACTCGTGTTGCCACAAATCTTCTATATTTGAGCTGGCTCTATTTATTAGACATAACCCTTCCCTGTTTAAAATAATACCGAGATCGCGTAATCGCAATATTCTTATAGCCGTTGATGGATGTGTGTCATATAAGACAGCCCTCTACGACATGGGTGTTTTTGCTATGGCTCCGAAAATTTATAATAAAATACCTAATCATATTAAAGAGTGCACTGATATCTCAATCTTTAAACAAAAGCTATTTATATTTTTGGTCAGTAACAGTTTTTATTCAGTACATGAGTTCCTACAATTTAAATAAAGTTTTTCTACAATTTCTTCCTTGACAATATTGACTCTAATATCCGATTGACTGCCCTGCATTAATTTATTTTAATCTTGCAATTTATTTAACTGACTTTTATGATTTTGACATTTAATTTGCTCATTATTACTTTTCTTTAACATAATATTATACTTAAAATCACGCTTTAACATTTGTATGCCGACAAGACTGATCACGGCTTGAACACATATCTTGTTTGTACATCATACTGCTTACCTGTGTTTCACAAATAAATTATTTGAATTTGAATTAAATTTCCTTCACTCCCTTATTTAATATCTAGATGCTTGGCAGGGATAACCCAGTTCATTAGAAATTTTTGGATTTAACGATGATGATTTATGGTTCTTCTACAAATTATGTCTAATCATCAAAAATGTTTCATTAATCACGGCCTTTTGCAGATAAGCCCATTTATGTCGATACAAGAGAAGAGTCTAATTGATTAGAGAGAAGAGGTATTTGAATCTAGAATTTTTTCAATTAATTTGCTCCACAATTTTTTAGGACGAGTAATTTTACTCAGTCTTAGATAGTTATTAATTTTTAAGAAATACATTATAGAAGGAAAAGGATAGTAAATGAAACGAAAATTAAAACTTAACGCTATATTTTTATCAACTCTTAAATAAATTACCTTCCTAACTTAAGAGTAGGTATATTTAATTTTCTTCAATAAATATCCGAATCTGCATTTAGTTTTTTATGGCTCAAGTCTTCCAGCTGTATTTGATTTGAAACTGAAACAAAATAAGGACGCATTTTACATAAAGTACCTTAAGTAGGGTTCAAGTAATATTTTAAGATCTAGATTAGTATTAATCGAATCAAAATGTTGTCCAGATTTGAAATTCATCTAAAATAAAAAAATCTTATGGATTTCCTATAAAAGTACGCTCATTTATCTGTCCGTTTATCACTGTTTTGACTACGGAACATAGTGACATATCGCTGCCCAATCCGTCGTTTTTTGCCAGAAGTCCGGCCACTAGCTTTAAATTCAATTATGTTACAGGTGAACTTGGTCCTAAAGATTGTTTATTATTGTTCGACAAGGTCGCTTCTTACCATTGTGATAACCTACGATCTTTCTTTTCCGAACCTCGTCCCACTCCTGCCGCTCGCTGCTTGCGAAGACTGTGTATATCACGTTACAAACCACGCAGAAACTTGCGAGCGATAGGAATGCTATCTTCCATCTTTTAAGGTCTGCCTGTGGAGAATCAAAATGTTTTAGACTTAACTAGGGAAATAAATATTATATTGTGTACTTGCTAAAAGATGTTTTACTGACTGACGATAAGTTTGCAGTGGTTATAAGAAACTAAAGAAGTATCCCATATTGTCAAAGAATAATTGTACGATAAAAAATTGAGGCTTTATGTTGACATATAAGGTCAAATTTTTAAGTAGATGGTTACAAAAGGAAAAGTCGGTGTTTTATTACAATGGAAATATTGTACTGCAGCCTCGAGGCATCAAATATATTTGCCTGGAATATATTACACACCTCGAAACAAGAATGTTCTAGAGTTCAAATAAAAAGCAAAAAAGCTCAATCAAATTGCATGATATTATGGATGTTTGCATGTGGTATGTGCAAGTGCGTATTTATAGTTTAAAGCATTTAAAAGATTTTAATAGGTCCTTGGACGTAGACGTAGTACCACTAGCCAAAGAGTAAAATGAAACAAATCTAATGCTTGTTGAGACCTTATACCCAGTCAATAAAGCATTATAGATGGAAAACTGTAGAACACAATTTCTGACTTCAGGACTTTATTTAGACTAGTTAGGAGGTGAACATAGCAAAAGTCCCCGTCCTTAGCCCTTGAGCCGGCGGGGAGAGGGGGGTTTAAAGGTGCCACTTTTCGGTTTTTCGCTTAATCCTCGGAAACTATGCGTTCTAGTGACATGACTACTATGAACCAAAAAAAGCATATTCAATTTGCAACAGGTGAGATAGTCAACTTTTTTGATAAATTGTATAGTTTTCGCGGCATCTGCTCTAGAAGGTCTGTAATATTGGAAATTTTATTTTTGTCTTACATGTTCCCATCAGGAGAAAATCGACTAANACAAGATATAGAAAAACTTGACGGTCTCGCCTGTAGCAAATTGAATAAGCTTTTTTTGGTTCATAGTAGTCATGTCACTAGGACGCATAGTTTCCGAGGATTAAGCGAAAAACCGAAAAGTGGTACCTTTAAACCCCCCTCTCCCTGGCGGCTCAAGGGCTAAGGGCGGGGACTTTTGCTATTTTCACCACCTAACTAGGCTAAATAAAGTCCCGAGGTCAGAAATTGTGTTCCACGGATTTCTCTCTACACCGTCGTTAAGGCATTCATTGACTGGACTATTAAGCGCATCAAAATAAGGTAGTTTACCTCATTATCACCAAGAATGAGCCCAGTAGCCAGCGGGGTCACAGCTCCAGCTATGCTAGCAATCCCACTCGACATTACAAACAGGGTCCCAGAAAAATTTTCAGACATGTCAGTAAGAGTTTTCTGCAAAAAAAGTAAGTTCAGTAAACACGTATTCTTAAAAAGTATGGAATAAGTCAAGTACAGTCGCGGAATGAAAAGGTTCGTCACCTTAGTGTCGGTTTTCGCTTGCACTAGGTACTGTAAGAGTCAAACCTGCCAACATACCAGTGCAAGAAACAGTGCTGCTAACATTTAAATAAATGTGACGTTTGCTAACGAAGAAGGTTTTGCTTATTTTTCTGTCCCATCAGTGCAATGTTACAAAATGTATTTTTTTTATTTAATAGAAATAATAATGGCAGGTTGAACCAACAAGAAGGTTTTAGTTTATCAATCATAAAAATCTTCTTGACAAGATAAATGTCAAACAACTTTAATCTGAATAATTTTGAACTTTACTGACTAACAGTTAAAGATTATTTTGTCTAACTCGAGATTATTCTGTAACATATTTTCAAAAGGTAATATGTGCTCGCGATTGGTTGAAGGAATCAATTTGAAAACTGACGAACCTTTTCATTCCGCGACTGTACATACATACTGTAAAATAAAATCTAAATAATAACTTAAAAGTGACTGACTGCCTGACATAGCGATCTATCAACGCACAGCCCAAACCACTGGACGGATTGGGCTGAAATTTGGCATCCAGGTAGATGTTATGACGTAGGCATCCGCTAAGAAAGGATTTTACGAAACTCGGGTGGAGCTAAGGGGGCAAAACGGGATCCACGCGTACGAAGTCGCGGGCGGCCGCTAGTATTATTAAATTTTTGTAAATTGTTAACAATTACTCAATTTCTGAAACCCAATACAACTTTGAGTAAACTTTGACCCATTCAATTAATCAAGCAACTTCGTAATCACGTTTCGGTGACGGCTGCATTATAAATGGTTCTTTTCAGCTTTCTCCATCTACGAAACAATAAATTCCCCTCCAAATTCAATCCAACACCATAATCCCCTCTGATTGACCTGTATTTATTA